ATTAACACAGTATCTAAAATTAGAATACTGATTTAAAAATACAAGTTTGTTAAACCGCTCTTTTCCCAAAGGTAGTTAGTATAGTTTGAAAGTCTTTCAAAAAATGGGGAAATAAGCAAGTTACAGGAAATACAGCCAAAACTTAATCATGCTTCTGTTCTGTATTTCAAAGGTCAGATGGTTCTTCTAGATTTGACTTTTTTTAAATAAAGTAAGTATTTTTAGGCTCATTTTCTTCTGTAATACAAAAACGTAGTGACTTTTCCCATTGAGTGTGTAAATCTTTGATAATCTGTGTCACATTTGGTAATCTTTAGCTTAGTGGTAGAGAGAACTTTCCTAGCATGTACAAAGCCCTAGATTTGATTCCCAGCATCCCTTGCCAAGACTTGAAAAGCCAGGTGCAGTGTGACACACACCTGCAGACCTAACTTTCCAAAGCTGAAGCAGGAGATTGAAAGTTCGAGGCCATCCTTGGCAACATAAGGAGACCCTGTCTTTTAAAAAACCAAACCAAAACAGAAAACATTAAGATAATATGTATTTTAGCTTCAGACAAAATTGATGCTTATCATTTAGAAAAATAATAAAGGGAAAGGGAATGGGTAATCAGAAGTTTGAAAACACTTTAACAGTAGTTCTAGGTTTTTAAATTCTTAGGGTATCGAAAAGAAATGAACACAGTTCTACACAAAACTGAAGTTTAGAAATAACTAAAATATCTTTTCAGCAAGTAATTAATCAATTGTATATTTTTATGGTACAAAGTGATATAAAGGAATGAACTATAACATGAAATAACATCAGAATAATTGCTAAGTAGAAAGGAACAAGCTATGTAATTCCATTTACAGAAAACTTTAATAATACAAAACACCATCTAATCTTTAGTGACAAAAAAACACAATTAGTTTTTAAGGACGGGAGCAGAGGGGATAAAAAGCAGGAGGAAAACATTTAAGAAATGATTATTGTAGTAGGAGTTTCAGAAGTGTACACATGTAATCAGTGTATAACATATGCAACTTTGTTACTCAAATCTTAGGAAAACTGTTAAGAAGTTGATGAGAGTGTGTAAGCAATGATGTGTTTATTATAGTCATGAGATGTTTCAAATGTCAGCTGAACATTAATGCCTTGAGTGTGATATCTATAATATTTTATCATCAGATTTGTTGCTAATACCTATCACCACCAACAAAGGAGCAATTTTTTTTTATTCTCTCAAATCCAGTCTGTATGAATCTTTGGTCAAGATGTTTCTTTTTTCTCTTCTCTTTTCTTTCTTTCTTTCTTTCTTTTTTTTTTTTTTTGCATTTTAAAAAATTTTAAAGAGAATAAAACCAAGGAAAATAAAATTAATCAAGATAAACTAGTATAAGTGATACAGGACTTCAAAACCTTATGCAATCAGCAACAGTTAGCCATAATGCCTCTTGTTGTCCTCAAAATAGCTGCAGAAATCTTTAGACATAGTAAAAATTGAACAGAACAGTATAGAACAGAAACAGTAAAAACAAAACAATCAATGCAATAAAGGACTTCAAAACAAGCCAATAGTAAATCCAAAATGACTACCATGATATGTCTTGCTATCTTTTAAGTAGCTTTTCATGCCATCAGATTTAACATGAATAAAACCTAGCTCAAAAAAGATTTCGAGGCCGGGATCACTTCCTGGTAAAGCCTAGGCCCTGCTGCTGTCTGCAAATGGCACTGACTCACAGAGAGAGGCGTGGATGTGGCTGTCCTGTACATGTGCTGGTTTCCAAGTGGAGATCACCTCCTGGTGAGGCCTAGTTCTCTCCCCTACTGGTGGAGATGTTTCTATAGTCCTGCTGGAGCTTGAGTATCTCCTTAGTTAACTTGGAATAGTTTGCCTTCTTATTCACACTCTTAAGTTGCTTTTCTTCTGTGAATTGGAATAGGTGGTTCTGCAGTATCTCTTGACAGTGTATGTTTAGTAGTTAAATCAAGCAAAAAGTAAAGATTAAAACTGGGTGCACTTGCACACACCTGTATCCTAGCTACTCAAGAGGCTGAGATGAGAGCACTATGTTTAAGGCCAGCATAGACAACAAAGTGAGACTATCCCCCTGCCTCAAAAAAAAGCTTTAAACAAGTATAGTGCCAAAATTAAGGTAGCAAAAACAGAGTTTAACTATAGTCAGTTCACTTAAGTCAGTAATGATTTATAGGTTAGTAAATGTACTTGCTTTGTTCTAAAGTCATTTCTCATAACTTTGTAAGATGAAAATGGAAATGCTCAAAAGTAGAGAATAGAGAAAAGGATAGCATCTCTGCAAGCACTAAGAAAGTAAATTGTTCTTAAATTTACTGTCTGAGACCAGAAAAAGTTACAAAGATGAGTGTGGATGAAGATACCTTTGAAGGGAGCAGGAAGAGGTGGCAGGGACTGTCAGGGTTACAGATTGTACATAAAGATCTCTGTCCTTAGTTTAACATGGGTAGGAAATGGGAATAAATTTGACTTAGGAGCTCCACTGAGCCATCTTTGGATTATTGGACCTTAATGACATGAGAAGAACCATCATTCCAAAAGTCAGTGAGTTCTCCTCAGGGCCCCACCCAATGCCAAAGACCATTAATTTGTAATGATTCCACTCTGAATAGTTGTATGCTCTCCATCACCCCAAATTTCTCAGCAGTCTCAGTATCAAAATGAGGCAGGCACATTTTAGCATTAATTCAGGTTGCAGTTTGATGGGGCTGAGATAGAATTATATGGTATGTATATCAGGAATCTGAAAGATACGGTATGTGTTTCAGATGATCAATTATGAGTTCAGTTTTGTAGAGAAGGAAAAAGAAAAAGAGAAAAGAAATAAGGAAAAGAAAAGAAATCAGAGGCAAACTAAAAGAATAAAATAGTAAAGAGAAGAGTCTGGGAGCTTCTGAGTTTGGAAGGTTAACTAGAAAAGAGTCATAAAGGAAGTAGAAAACAAAGTCATGAAATTTGTGGGAGAGAATTTCTGAGCCCGTTGGTAGGATGTGACTGAAGAAGTTAATAATTAAAATGTATTAATGAAGTGGTCAACATCATTACTGTTTGATATTCAGCAATTTCAGCTTTGGTTTATGACGAGTTTGTACTTGGTGTTGACAGTTCTGAGAAGATAGATGCTGTTCATGAAAATGAGACATGATTGGCCTGAACATGATTTAAGATTTTACAGTTAGTTTGGTTTCAAGTAATAAGATCTTGGCAACTGTATATATAGAGTGATGGAGATAGATGTAAATGGAGACCTTTGGAGTCTAGAAGGTATACCAAACCGTGTTTGGAGGCGTAACACATACACGTATGTTCAATGACAGGAGGCCCTGGTCCAAGTTCCAGAATTCTCTCATATGTAAGATGCAATAACTTAAGAAAAGCACTTTACTTTGTTAGGGCAAGGGGACTGTGGAACCATTCTTAGAATTTCAAGCTTTTAAAAATATATAGAGAGAATAAAATATATAACATTTTGGAGAAAAGGAATGTTATTGGTACCTTTTTCAGAATACTAAATAAAAAATTTTGACATGTACTTCTTAATCAGTGTATGAATGACATTATCTGAAAGCATGTCTTAACTAATGGTGCAATCACAGTGAATATGTATGGTGTTTTAAGGTATTTGCACCATCTACATTCTGTTCTATTGATGAAAATTCAGGTAAAATTTAACAAAGTTAAATTCTTAACTTTTTTCCCTCATCCAAATTCACAGACCTTTGAATTCTCTCATTCCAGTGAAGAAATCCTATTTTTAAGAGGTGGAATGTCCAGAAGAACATAAATCTGAACAAAAATAGCAGGTTTTGCGTGAGAGACATTGAATTTTTGGAATGGCAGGAAAGAGCTAGGAGGTTATCTCCACACTGGGATGCTGTGGTGAACGTGGTAGTGAGTCAGGTGGAGATGGTGAGACTGTACAGCAGGGAGCAGTCCTGGCTTAGGACAGGGAAGTGTGCCGGGCCAGTGTGCTTTGTGATTTTTTTTAAAAGGCTGATTTGAGATCAAACCAAAAAAGTGTAGGGAGAAGAAACTGATAGGCACAGTGAAAATTCTTACCAGAGTAGTGAGCAATAAACAGATGAAAAGTAAAGAATAAGGACACAGTAGTAGTAAAGGTGTTAGGGTTTTCCAGAGTGATAGGAACCATTGTAGAGGCTCTGGCTGAATGCACACTGAGGAACATCATCAAAGTAGCAGGAAAATCATCAAAGTAGCAGCCCCATAACTTACTCACATTTCTAGGTAGAAATCTCCCGAGCAATTGTTGGGTACCCTTGAAACATTTTAAACATGATTATGGTGAAGGAACTTTGGGTTCATATTTTTACTTCTGGTCCCCCTTTTTTTCCTCTTTTGTCCCTGCTAGATGATAAAACATACTGTGTTCAACTCAAGATACAAAAACCTGAAATTGAAGTGAGACACTTGATAACAAAGTACAACACAGTTTTGGGGATGGAGGGAAAGGTTGGTGTCTTACAGTAAATTATCAAGACTATACTTGCCATTTTATTCCAAGAGAGAACTTAGGACTATATGACAGAGTAAGGAAAATAACAAAGTAAAACTAGCAAAATATGTATATTTTTGGCTTAATAAACTACACAGACTTCCAATTAATATAATTTTCAGTTACTTGAAATCTATAGAAGAAGGCAGGTGTGATGATGCATACCTGTAATCTCAGCACTTGGGAGACTGAGGCAAGAAGGTCATTGCAAGTTCGAGACCAGCCTAGACTACAAAGTGAGGTCAAGGCCAGCCTGAACTGCATAGCGAGACCCTGTCTCAAAAAGAAGAATTTGATTCTGATTGGGAGATGTATTAACTTTAAAGTAAATGTTAATGCTTAAACTAAATGTTAATACTTAAACTTTGTATTTACTTAACTCTAATGTGCATTTTATTTTTTAAATCTGACGATAAATTTGTTAATTCATAGATTGATTCACTTTGTATTTGTTGTTTATTTAAGGAATTAGCGCTCCGTAGCCAGTTGCCCACCCTGGAGCAGGATAGTGGGACTCAAAATCCAGTGTCTTCTCCCGGCATGTCTCAGGAATTACGAACAATGACGACCAATAGTTCAGATCCCTTTCTTAACAGGTGGGTGAGAATGCTACTGACCAATATCTCAAAAAGTTCATGGCTGTGAGATTATTCTTCTCAATAGTTTGTCATAGGCTGTTTTGAATATTTGTATGATTCAGAAACCATAGCTCTAAATGAATCTCTCCATAAATACGACATGCATATGTAAACATCATATTGTTTCACTAGTGCAAGAAGCTGAAAGTAACAATGTGTGTATATTATTAAAAAAGATATCGGGTTTCTCTGAGCTCAGTGAAGAAAAAGGTTGTGCTGGTATTGTTGGGACAAAAGCAGATGGCTTGTGGTCTGGGTGAATGATTTGGGGATGATAATGCTAAATGTATGTATTGTTGTTGCCCCCTGATTTGATGTGTTTGGAAACTTAGTTTTCTTTTCTTTTCTTTTCTTTTCTTTTCTTTTCTTTTCTTTTCTTTTCTTTTCTTTTCTTTCTTTCTTTCCCTTTTTTCATTCTTTGCTTCTTTTCTTTTCTTCATTCCTCCTCCTTTTTCTCTTCTTCTTGAAATAAAATAGATTTGGGGTCAAAAAAACTAGAATGTCTCCATAAATGGCAAGTACAATAAAAGTTGAGAATTAAAAGCCATCTCTTATAAGAGAAAATGAGTTATTTAGACTTGCAGAGGGGGTACTTATTTGGTCACAACGTATTTGCTTCTGCCTGTACTGTTGACTAACTGTTACTTAAAATCAATCGTGAAAACATGTGAAAAACTTTTTGTTAAAGCAAATAAACTGTATCGTAAGCCTTATTATTTCATTTTAAAATCATTGGCATAAATTTTCCACATAACCATTCAGCATAAGAGGCCTGACTATAAGGCCTCATGTTTTCTTATGGGCTGTAGTTCAGGGAGATGAAATACAAAGTTGTGCCTTTTTCATAAATTCATCAAAATTATTGGCAGTATTTGAAAATAACATAGCTTAGGATGCTTCTTAGTAAGTTATCACAGTTGGGTTTCATACAGACTACATGTAAACTGCTATGTTGACAATTGTAGTCTGAAATACAGTATTTATGGCTTTGAAAGCCATCTAATACTGATTAAAATTCACTCTTCTAGGTTATAAAATATCCATTCAAAATATGGAATACTTTGTGGTTTTGATCCCCCCCCCCGCCACCGCTTAACCAATTTCTAAGCAACATATTTTTTAGAGCATACTTTGATTTAGAAAGGCTATTGTGTCACCTTTTTATTTCTTTCCAGTTAAACTAAAACTTAATGATTCTAAGAAAAACAAATATTTTATCCTGTTAAAAATATTTAGAACAATGGAATGTGTGTCCTATTGGTCTCCCAGTCTTGTACTGGTGCCCTACTTCGAATGTTTATTTTGAAAGTCTTCCCAAATATATTTTAAGTTTGTATTTAATCTTCTGACAGACATGTGCACACAATACTTAAAAGTTTGGCCTACAACTGAGAGTATTTATATAAACTTGTAATTCTGAAGGTAACTGTAGCTTATAAGGAACAACCATGGGTGTGAAACTTTGTTTTGTTTTGTTTTCCCTTCTCAAGGAACATTTCAAATCAGGGTAAACCCTTTTTAATGAAGGCCTGTGTGGATTCAGGATGAAGTTAAACTTTTTAAAATAGGCTAAGTATCCTTTTGCCAATCGTTTGTGCAAATTCTTTATTAAAACTTTTAACAAGAGCTGAACTAGTTAGGCTTTTTTGGGTAAGATCAGAGTGTAGCAAATAGTCAATTTACTGTTTGGAGGAGCAGCTTGTGCAGTTAATTTCTGTTAGTACTCCCAGTTTCTAAAGCATACATGTAACTGTGGCATATTTTTTGCTTAAAAAGTACTCTTGATAATTTCTTTTTGACTTAACCAGTTGACTTACACTTACTCCTTAGGTTATGAGCATTTTTGTTCCCCTAACTTCGCAGGGAATTAACTCTTTATCGATGCAATGTTCCTTTACTTCCCTCTGTTCTGAGACCCTTCAAGATCAGCTCAGATTCCCCTTCTATGAAACCTTTCCCTTTTACACATATAATTCCTGCAGACCTGTATATAACTTATTGGTGTATTTGTTCACTTTCCTCACCAGAGTTGTGAGCTTCTTTAAAAGTACCATTTGTAGTTTGTTGTTGTTGGCCTCTGTGATCAAGTAGCAGATACTCTGAATGCTTGCTGAGTGAGTGGGCCCTGCAGGAGCTGTAGGTATCTGGAGGGAATAATTCCTAGGCAGGAAAATGGTACTGTAAATGCTCCTCAGGAATGTCCTGTGAATCTCCTGTGGACCAAACTCTGCACAACTGTACATTCAGCTTCTCTGTAATGAACTTAGATGTCTAATGTGTGTTCTGTGCTGGAAAGCAGTGAGCAGAGAGAGATGATTTGGTCAAGGCCTGCTTTCCAGCTCAGGACACTTGAAAATAGAAACAAACCACTTCCTGAGGCATTTAATGCATGGCTGTGTGATGTACACATGGTCTCTGACACAAGTTTGTGCTTTCTTGGATGTATATAAACCTTTTGAATCTTGCCTAAATCTGGCAGAAGCTTATGGTAAACTCATGTTACATATGCAGTGAAGGGCATGGGAAGACAAGGCAAATGCATTGAACAATTCACAAAGGAAAACTGGAACACTCAACTTTTAATCTGGAACAATTAAAGCTTGTTTTTAAAGCTTATGTTTGTTGTTGTCCTTAAACTTTTGTTATAAGTTTAACAGTTGCTTAAACATCTGTGATATAGGGAAAGTTAAAGTTCAGTCAGAAACCATTAAGAAAAATAATTGCCCAAGATTTTTGTAAAATTCAGTTTTATACTCAATGTCAGCTAATGTCTTTGTACTTTGAGGAAGGTATTTTATTTGTGAAGTACTGTTCTCAGGATATTTATTGCAGCTATATTTAAATCTGGGATTTTACTTAGCCTAAAGCAGAAATCTGGATTGGTTTATGTTTTTCTTTTTACAAAGTGTCTGGTTTTGTCGATCTTTCCTACAAATGGAACTGTATGGCTGAGGATTCTGGGTTCTCATCCCCACAGCAACAGAAGCAAGGAAATCAAGCTGCAGGCATTCTTATCTCAGTGGCAGTGACTCATCTGTTTTGGCCCAGTCCAAAAAGAAATTCTGGTTCTTTATTTTGGGTTGGTTCTTCTTTGGCTTAAGTTCTCTGTACAAAAGCTAGGAATTACAATAAGAATCTGGTACAGGCCTGTCTGACTGCCCATCAGGAACTTAGGTTTGACCTCTGCCAGGGCTACCATCATCTGGGCAGTGAGACATTGGAATCAACAAGGTATAAGTGGAGCTTGTTAAACCCCATACTACTGCTCATTCTTACCCCACCCACCGATGATATCCAGAGAGAGTACCTGTGCAGACAACTTCTTGTCAACTGGGGAAACTAACTGGATTTGTCATTTTTCTGTCACTGCCACAAAATAAAAAACCTTGGAGTGCTCTTGGCCCCTTAGAGCTGCCAGCTTGAAGTAGGATTAACTTGTCTATTTTATTTCATAGTTCAGGGCTGTGTAGAGCCCAGAAGGAGAATACTTGTTTTAGGCAATGCAGGCTAAGAATTTTACTAATCCTTTTAAAGAATCTTAATACTCAGCAGATACTTATTTTTCCTTGAATTGATTTAAATTTTTTAGCATTTTTTTTATTATTGAAGTCTTTATTGTTCATTTTTAATTTTAGTTTTTATCAGTATGAGTTTGCAGTACCTAATGATTACATTCGTTATGGGGAGTTGTTGCATATGCATTGCACATCTTTTTATAACCCTTCCCTCCCCACTCCAGCACTGGTCTTTAACTTTTGTTGCGGTTATTGTTGTTGTAGTGGCACCTATCACTCTCGAGATGAAAGTACAGACAGTGGGCTAAGCATGAGCAGTTACAGTGTTCCTCGGACTCCAGATGACTTCCTAAACAGTGTCGATGAAATGGATACAGGTTAGTATTTTTAATTCCTCTTAGAAACCTGACATTCAGTCACATATTACCACCAACATATTGGAAGCAAAGGTTAATCAGAAGAAAACGATTTGAAATTATGTAAACTTCAGTACAAATTGAAACTTCTTTGTTTTCTATATAGTGATTTGTAATTTAAGTCTTTTCCTAGTTTTTACATATCATGGGTTAGTTATGTTCTATTTGGATAAAACTGATAACATTTTAACATGTGAATTGGCAAGATAATTGAGTTCTTTATCTCCTTTTTTCATTGTAGGTTCATGTTCTTAACTTTCATTTGTATTCTTAATTTCCATGTGAGACATTGTCTGCCCCATTCTTTTCTTCTAAGGATTTTTGGTTAAATTTAGGTGTTACAAGGCTCAGGAAACTGGTGGGAAAGGCTTGGTGATGATCCCCTGGGTTTGACAACTGTCCACATAGAAATTGGCAGGCAACTTTTTGGCTATCTAGGTCTATAGCTGACGACTTGTCTTCTGAAAATGGTTGACAAGTCTTTTGTCTCTGTGCTTATCCAGCTCGTGACAGTGATACTTCCACTGTTCCTCTGTTCACTGAGAATTTAAATCATTCTTAGAAGACACTTCAACTTATCTTTACTCCTCACATCTTTGTTTCTTCCCCAAATCCTTACTAAAATGTTCTCCAAACCCTTATTAAAAAGTTAGTTTTTCTGAACACATATTCTCTTGTTCTGAGAAATGTTAATATAGTATACAAAAAGATTCTGTAGCCAGTTTTGGAAATCTAGAAACAAGGTTAGATAGATTTATTCAAGGATTTCTAGCCAGCTTGTTTTGTTATTGTAAATGCGAAGCTCTGTGATTAGAATATTTTATTTTAGTGTTCTCTGAAGTATATATAAGAGAAAAGTCTATACCATTTATGAAACATGTAATGTTATTGTGGTAGTATATATTTGCAAGTCAATAGTGTAGTGTTACTGTTGTATGAGGCTCATTTTTCCCCTGCTGCATATGCTTTTTTGAGAAATTTTTTTTCCACAACTCACTTCATTGCCTCACACAATAAGCAGGCTGTACATTGAATATCTAAGCAGTGTTAAAGTAAATTTAACATTGTTGTTTGATTATCTGTGCATTGTTTTCTAAAACAGGTTCTGAGTATCAGTCCATATGAGTCAGGGATGCTTTCTTTATCTTTCCATGTCTGTATGCTCATATGATGCTGCTCTGATGTTAGGTTTTCAAAAAATTACCTTGTCCTCTATCTGTCCCAAATAGGTGATACTATCAACCAAAGCACTCTGCCCTCACAGCAGAACCGATTCCCAGACTACCTTGAAGCCATTCCTGGAACCAATGTGGACCTTGGAACACTGGAAGGAGATGGAATGAACATAGAAGGAGAGGAGCTGATGCCCAGTCTGCAAGAAGCTTTGAGTTCTGACATCCTTAATGACATGGAGTCTGTTTTGGCTGCCACCAAGCTAGATAAAGAAAGCTTTCTTACATGGTTATAGACCCCTCAGGTAGACTGAATCTAAATCTGTGAAGGATCTAAGGAGATAAGACATGTATACCTGAAATTTCCAAATAAGCCCGTAAAATTTTTCTGGCTAATACAGAAAAAGATGAACAAACGTCCAGCAAGATTCTCTCATCCATTATTTTGCTCTTCCTTGTCCATTGCTGCTGTTAATATATTGCTGACCTCTTTCACAGTTGGCCCTAAAGAATCAAAAAGATGTTTTTTTGTTTCTTTTGCTACTATAACTACTGTTTGTTTTGGAGGCTGGGGGAAATGAGCCTGTTTGGATGATGGATGTCATTCCTTTTGCCCAATTAGATGTTCGCTGTTCATTGTACGCTATTCAGAATGCTTCATGTCACAACATTTTGTTTGTTCAAGTAGCTGTTTCTTCAGCTGCCTTTGGCTAGTGGCAGACGTGCCTTCTGGTCTGACAAGCCAAAAATGTTGTATCTGGTATTTTCATACTTAATGCTAATTTGAAGAGATAGCTTAAACCAAGGCTGAAGACTGTTTTATTTCAGTAGGTTTTTGTTTTGTTTTGTTTTTGTTTTTGTTTTTGTTTTTCTTATTACTATCATTAGTCACATAGTGACCTTGATTTTATTTTAGGAACTTATAAGGCATGAGTCAATTTCCATAGAAATATATTAATTATTGCCACATACTCTAGTATAGGTTTGGGTGGACATTTTTGTGGGTGTTTTATTTTTTTGTTTGATTTCTTTTGGGGAGTGTTTTAATTTTTTTTTTCCAGAACCTAGGCAAATTATTATATTAGTGAATCTGTTTATAGTTGTAGCTTGAGGAAGTTATTGTAGTTCAGTAAAACCTATATTTCCTGATTTTTGCCATCTTATTTAAATCTTGATTACCTGCTTTTTCTATATATTCACACACACTTATAATGTTTATAATAGTGTGATAGCAGAATGTATCTTTTTTAGGCTTCCCTACTTTCCAATTTATTTTTTAAGTGGTAGCTTTGAAAGTATCCATTTAGAATACATGGCTAGTAGTTTATATTTCACAAGTAGTTTAATACTGGTTGGGGAAATCTACAGATGTTTGAGGTAGTTTAGTATTCTAGAAAAGGTATTACTATGGATAGTGTCTAGAAGAGTACTTGACACTCTCTGGACCCATGATAAATATTATCTGATGAATTGAAAAGGAGCAAACAAGAAATGGCTTAATCTCCCCTTAGACTCATTTGAATTGATAGAAATACTGAGCAGTTTTATAATGTACATGGCAGAAGTAAGCTTTATAGTGGTTCTCCTTCTATTGGCTCTGAAAGTTTTACCTTAGTTTTGGAAGTAAATTCTAAGCTTTAGTTCTGATTTGTAATGAACACAATAAATACTAGTAGGTTGAGATGAGACTTTATAAGACTTGCTCCTACTTTTGTATGCTAAAAATTGACCCTAGGTAGCATGTAGAATACTGTAAGATCATGAGTTAGCTGGTGAAGCAATCAGATTCATAAATGTATATTGGTAGCTGAATTTAGCAAAGATAGAGATAATCATGATTATACCTTTATTTTTACAGGAAGAGATATAACTAGAGTATGTGTCTACAGAAGTAATAATGGCTTCCAAAGAGTATTTTTTAAAAGGAACAAAATGAGTATGAATTAACTCTTCAATATAAGCTATGAAGTAGTAGTTGGTTGTGAATTATAGTGGCACCAGCTAGCCCCTCTATGATTTAAAGGTCTTTCCGTGCTTCTAAAATAAGCCCTTATTTTCAAGGGTTTGTAACAGACAAATTCTCTTTTCCTGGCTAAAGCTGCTATGAAAAGCCTCAGCTTGGGAAGATAGGGTTTTTGGGATTTGGGTGGGTTTTTTTTTTTTTTTTCCAGTTATAAAATCTAATTATTTTGACTTCAGTTTGGAAGAGTACAAAAGTGGAAGAAAGAAGTTTTATTTTAAATACTTACAGTGCTCAAAAATAATGCAATCACTGTATTGTATATAATGATTCATAAGTTCATCATTCATCCTAATTGACTCTACAGAATTTGTTTTAAAAACAGCAAAAAGATTTTCTCTTAAATTAAGTCTAGGGGGATATGGCCACTGTGCAGATGTATTGAGTTTTAGAACAATAATGAAATTCTGCGTAGAATACAAAATTGAGCACATGAGTGATACAGAATGTTGTGATGGTTGTTAATGTGCAGAAGATCAAAGCTACTTAAGAGTGTCTACAGTTTGCCAGTAAGATACAAATTAAGATCGCATCTTATATATCCAGCAGAGTAGCTTTAGTTTAACAGGAGGGTGGGAAGGTGGGTGTGGGTTGTGCAGAGTTAATGGGACCTTGATAGAAAACTATAAACATCTGTCTCCTTAGTAAATACTTGTCTTGCATCTTGCTGTCATTAAAGGCAGTTGTTCCTAAAATTTCAGTCACTTAAACACACCCATTAAGCAAAGAATATATTATCTTCATTACCCATGGACTTATTGCTCAATTTATACCTCAGTGTTGTAGCAGCACTCTGTTCCTGACACAGTGCTTTGATCTTGTAATGTCCTTTGTACTGACCTGAAAGAGACCTAAAAGTCCTTTCTCCTTTTGAGTTTGAATCACAGCCTTAATGTGGTCTTTCTTGCTTTATGTCCTTTTTCCTAATGTAAAAGTGTTTTAATGCTTCTTGGTTGTATTGGGTAGCATGGGGATAAGATTTTAACTGGTTATTCTTGAATTGCTTTTACAATAAACCAATTTTATAATCTTTAAATTTATCAGCTTTTTACATTTGTGTTCTTTGCAGTTAGGGCTTCTTAAATCTAGTTATGATTAATGGGGAGTACATTGATTTGAAGTTTCAGATCTCCCAAAGCACTATTTGTTGTAATAACTTGTTTTCATATTGCCTTAAAAAACAAAGTAAGAAAGTGACTGTAATAGAAATAATATTGCTGTTTTAAGATCTCATGTTAAATAGATGTATTCTCTATGGAGCATGACACTGAAAAATAATAGTAATTTTGTAAGTCAGAATTCATACCAATCAGTGTTGAAACTTATACAAAAACAAAAGGCAGTATCCAATGATTAACAATTTCGTAGCTTTCATACATGAGAAACGAATACTCAGATGAACTTTATCTTTGCAAGCATGTTTTTATAAGAATTGTAAGTGTGCCTGTCTTAACAGTTATTTCCTGTATCTTGAAAAAGTATTCTCCACAATTTAAATGTTTTATATGAGAGATTTAATGCACACTTGTCAGATATATATATATATATAGATAGATAGATAGATACAATACCAATGTTGCCTTTGTTTAGTTGTAAGAGCATACTTATGTTAGGTACTTACATAAATTGTTACATTATTTTTTCTTATGTAATATCTTTTTGTTTATGTGGTTCAAATATATTCTTTCCTTAAACTCTTCCTTGTTGTTCTTAGCAGTTGATAAAATTTAAAACTTTTGTCTTACCAGTTTCCCAGTAGAATAAGAACTAGAAGTGAAGTGATAGAACCAATTGGTAGGCAGATGTAAAGTTAGTTTTACTTCCTAAAGTTAGGGGTGGCATTTCAAACAAAATATAGATACAGTTTGAACTTCATAGGTGTACTCTTCAGGTATATCATCCTCATCAGTAGCAGTGTCTAAGCAGAATTGTATCCACTTCATCCTTAATTGACTTTACTACGTGTTAACAGTACAGAGGAAACAGATTTACATGACATGGGTTTTGGAGTTACCTTTGGTTTTATTTCTCTATTCATTCTCTCATGGTTTTCAACATAGAGTACTTAGTGAAAAGTATTACATAATGTTTTGTTAAAAAGATTTATAAATTTAAGTGGAAGTGCAAAACTTTGAATAAGAAATAGATTTTAATAAGAAATAGATTATCTTTGAAAATACTCTGGTGTGTGTCTTCAATTATTGATACACATAAATTTTGTTGAAGCAAATCTGAAAATTTTTGTTTTGCTGTATGTAATTTCTTTACATTGGTAGAATACTAGTTTTGAGGGATTGAAATTGTTTCTCTTATTTAGTACAAAATACAGTGATCAAAGATACCATTTCAAAACCAAAGCTTGTGATTTGGGATATAATAGAGTGACAGAGCATGCACCTTATGTGCTTGAAACCCTAGATGCAATCCCTAGCACCAAAGGAAAAACTGTACCTTTCGGGTATAATATTGTGCCTCTTCATCTAGGGACCTTTGGCTCCGAGGTGCTACATATACTAATACTTAAGGCTCTGGCAGGGTTCCTATCATAGGTGTCATCCATGTTCCACTTTAAACTGCTGACGTTTGGTCTCTATTTTAGTAACGAGAAACTTCCAGTAAGCCATTTTCTGAGTTAAAAATGTACTGAATTAAAAGTCAAGTGAGAATCGGGCCCAGTGGCTCATGCCTATAGTCACAGCTATTCCAAAAGGCTGAGGGAGGCTGTGATTAGGGATGGTGGAATGCATGTGAGACTCCTGGTTGGATCCCTAACATTGCCACAGACACCCACACAAACAGACTACTATAATACAGGCAAAAACTATAAATAAAGCCCTGAACTAGTAGGCTTAATACCGCCACAGACAGTTACAAAGTCAGTTACTAATAAAACATGATCCTGAGAAGATGTTAAGTTTTACTGTCATATTTTAATAAATTCCCAAACTAAATGATCTTATTTCCAAGCTACTGTGACACTGTTAGAAGCCAAAACATCATCCAGACAATCCAGCTATGATCTGTGCCATACTGGAAGTACTGTTTGGAGAACTCCAAGCAAATTTTACTTACATAAAATTACTAAACAACAGTTCTGATGCATAAAACTATTTTAAAAAGTGAAACTAGCCAGGTATGGTGGCATATGCCTATAGTTCCAGCTACTTGAGGGGCTAAAACAAAAGGGTCTGTAATTCAAAAGTGGCCCAGGCAACTTAGCAAGACTGTCTCTACTGAAAATAAAAATGAAGAGCACCAGAGATGTATCTCAAAGGTAGGGTGCATGCCTAGCATGTATGAGGCTCTGGGTTCACTCCCCAGCACAAAAAAAGGAAAAACACAGGAGCAGTAGTGCACAATGTAGGCCCAGCTACTGGGCTAGACTGAGACAAGATGGTTCCTTGAGTCCAGGAGTTTCTGGCCAGCCTGGGCCAAATTTCATCACAAAAAAAATAGAAAGTGAAACTATTAATCTAGTGTTACTCTAGCTTTGTAGTTTACTGATTTACATACAAAATGAGTGCACAGGGCTTGAAAAGTCAACTTCTAAAATTGATTTCTCAAGCTTGTGATACTCCTTTCTTCATATGTCCTCATCCTTACAATTTTCATCACACAGTTCTGACCTTTATAGGATAAGTAAAATCTCCTTGGGCCACGGGTTTAGCTCAGTGGTATAAGCCTTACCTGCCTGCCTACGAGGTTATTAGTTCAATCCCCGGTACCAAATAAAATCTTGGATTTAATTTTCATTGTGGGTGTTATTAGAGGCCACATCTCAGTTTCTTTTAAGATATTTGCTCAATTTCAATGATGGCCTATGTGCCAGTTACAAAATTTTCTCAAAGATGATCCAGTGGTAGAATCTGAGGAAGAACACTGCCATATTGCAGCGCTATGTGCATGAGCAGAGTGAGGCCACTGGGAAGCCTGCCTAGAGATCCTTCCTCCTCCGCCTTGGAATTTCAGCAGCTTGCGTTTAAACGTATCTTTCTACTGGCGTGAGGAATAAGCGCATCAGTGGAAGTCAACAGCAACATTAGACTGTATAAGATCAAGCTCTAATGATGTTCAAAAGATCAGAACTCAGTCGTCACTGTGAATTAGAATCTTAGATCCCGTTAGAGATGCAGACAATTGTTCTAGAGCAGCCAGACCACTAAGCCATCTGAAGGCCCAACACAAGTCCTACATGAGTGTTAGCTTTTGGAGAGATGCCATTTGTTGAACACCAGGAAGTCTCAAGCCTAACTGAGTCCCAGTGAGACTGCCTCGAGGAAAATCTGGACTAGGGAGTTAGCTGTTACTTTATAATCCAAATCATCACATATGCTAGACCAAAAGGGCTGCTGTGGGATTTCCAGAAGATCAGCATGACCCACATGCTATCTTTCTTTCTCCAGACAGCTCATGCCTCACCAGGCTCAGGACTCCGAGGGTGTATCCTGATGCAGAATGGAGCAGCAATCGTGGCCAAATTCAGGGTGGTGGTTAACATTATTGATCAGATCTCTCTCAGTCTTCCAAAGTTACTGATGTGAAAGTGCCGAAACCTGGCTAGTTCCACTTTTCTCAGAGTTGTGTTGTTCTAGCCTGCTGAGTAGAGCAAACTTGAAAAGCAAGTTATTCTGCAGATTCCACAACCATCATTACTGTGGGAACTGAAGCCTCTCAGGCACTTTTCATACTGTGAGTAAAGTGAAAATACTAACTACAGTGTACATCGTCTCAGTCCAAGTTATAATTACCAAAATACTGCCACATACCTTACTTGATCACACTTAGATCTCATAAAATGTACCTCAAATGCTACACTTTCATACTCAAGAAAAAAAATTAAACACTCTTAATAGGTTATTAAATCTTAGACCATTTTTAAAAATCCTGTGTATGTTTGTCTAACAGATATGTCAGGTAATAGTCTAGTTGGTCTTGGGTAAATAGCTTCCATAAGGGGATTACAAACTAGCATAGTGCTAATGGGTAGTTAAGGTACCAAGACAGTGCAGCTTACGGGAAGATTACTTCCCACTCACTGGAATGCTGAGGGAAGGCTTCATAAGGGTACTGGTTAGGCTGGACATTGTTATGACTACTGCAACGTAAGTGGTTAGTGAAAAACAAAAAGAATGTAAGGCAGGAAAACTGGGAATATATGGGGAGAGAGAAATATGTCAGCTATAAATAGATTAATTCATTTAATAATTTGAGAACAGTTAACACCTGGGCTACAGAAGGCTGAAGTTAGAAGACTATGAATTCAAGTGCAGCTAGCATAGCAAAAGAGTGTTTACAAGTATCTAAACTGTGTCAGGCACTGTTTTGGGAATATAGAAACAAAACACAAGAGTTGTCTTTGTGAAGTTGATGTTCTTGACAGGCAAAAATCAGATAAAGATAGGTGACATGCTTATTTAATCCTCAGCAGTTCAATGCAAAAGATACTGGAGTTTGACCAAAACGCTAACATAAGAGGTCACATAACTTGAGTAATGGTTTTGGAGAGTTTGGCTCCAAATCTCACTTGTGCTTGAACTGTAGGGTTGGAAAATGTTGAATATATAGTGAGCAGTAGAGACCAAGATTTATTAGTGGACAACATTACCAAGCATTACTTAAAGGTTATCACATTTTAAGCAAACTGTAAGAAAACTATCTAAAGAGTAATAATAATGAGCAGAGCATACTACAACTACAGAAAAAACAGGTACCTGCATACAAATTTCCACATATTAACAAGAACTCATATTATCCATGGTTGAGTCTCATAATACTGTGGATCAATTTTTTTTTTTCTGATTTGCAGGGCAGAATATGATGACCTCAGAGATAACTGAGTTGGTTTCTCCAATAGAAGAAGCCTGGCAAGGGAATAGGGTAGAATGGGGGTCATGTTGTGTGGTTTACTGTGGAGATAAGCACTAGGGAAGCAGGCCCAGTGGCTGTACCTGTAGTTACTCAGGAGGATGTCGTGGGAGGATCACTTGAGCCCACAAGTTTGAGAGCAGCCTGGGCCAATCTAGTGAGACTCGATCTTGCAAATAAATAAAAGCTGGGGATGGTAGCTCATACCTGTAATCCCATCACTGGGGAGACTGAAGCAAGCGGGTCTCAAGTTCAAAACCAGCGTAAGTGACAGCAGGACTCTATTTTTTTTTTTTTTTTTTTTGTCTTTTTCCTTTTTATCAGTACCAGGGATCGAACTCACAACTGCCTGCTTCTAAGGCAGGCGCTTATGCCGCAGAGCTAAATCCCTAGACCCCAGGACTCTATTTTTAATAAAATAAAAGACTGAGGAATCTGAGTAGATTACTGATTATACTATAAATTTACCTCAAAGAAAAATTAGAAAAGTTAAACTCCTGAGGCCATCAAGAGCAGCTACATAAATGCTATAGACTGCTTGTTATACTGTTATGTTTAAATGCAAATCATATTTCATTAGAATATCTACGTTTAAAATAATTTCTAGACCAAGAAGGACGTTGTAGCCCCATCTTCCTAAATGAGAGCCAAGCAAGTCATAAGTAGCTTTTGGAGGGGACTGTGGCTAGAAAAGCTGGTAATACGACCAGTGGATGGCTTGACCCCCCCCCCACACACACACATCTGTTGCTTACATCCAGCACAGAGCTCAGTGATCCATTTGCTTCCACATCAATTATCATGTTTGCAATACTCCTTGGATGGACTGTTGCCACCAACTGAGGTACACAGACAGAGGGCCATCTGAAGCCATGACTGAGATGCACAGAGACATAAAAGCTGGGAGCTGCTGAAGTAAATATAGCCTTAGGGTGGAGACCACTGACCGACCATGCCCAGCAGAATTCAGCATCACTCACAGAAGCCGGACTGTGAGCTGGGCCAATTACACTGCACTCCCCGCTCCCCAAATGAACAGAAGTAGTCAGACTTGGGGACAGACAAAGGCCTATCATGCCCAGAGCACATTACCGGAAAGCAGACACCAGTTAAAGAAATCTGCACACCAGCAACAAAGTCTATCCACTGTAAGAGCCCTGTAACCTTCAACACAAGAAAGGACAATAAGAACACAAGAAAAGGCAACAAAATGCCTCTAAAAACTCCAAAATCCTCCAAAGCATGGGGCATTCCTCCCCGTGGGGCATCAATGGGGAGGAAATCAAAAGCCAAATAGCTAAATTATACAACACAGCCAAAGGTGGGAAAAAAATTAATAGATAAGATGTTCGGCAAGCTCACAGAAAATATAAACAGTGGTCTTAAAATGATTGCTGAATTTATAGAAGACACTAATAAAAAGCTAGCTAAGCTAAACAAAATGATACAAAACACAACTGACTAGTTTAGCAAAGAATTAGAGTCCATGAAAAGAAATGTATCAAATAGAAATCTAGGATAGATTGAGAGTGAAGATGCCACCTAGGGAGTGACAGATTGAACCTCTGAATCAGCAGGGGAGACAAGTCGGTACCCTGAAGTGAGAGTGAAAACCTGTGTGATACAGGATGGTAAAGGAAAGGACAAACCTGGTGGACTAAAATCTAGTGTCTGTGTGGGGTGTGGCAGGAAACAACCACTCCTGGATCCTGGCATCCCAGCTGGGGTATGTCTTCTTGGGAGAAATCGACTTGAGGGACAGTCAACCCTTCTGCAGCAACCTGCTTGACAGAATAGGCTCACAGTCACTCTGACCTCCCTACCAGGCGTTGCCAGTGAGACGCTTGCAAGCAGGGATTTAGAGAAGCCAAGTGCACGAGAATCGTCTATGAGACAAAAAAAAAAAAAAAAAAAAAAACCCATGCACTTGGATTTTGAAAACAACAGTGCTCCAGCAGCTGGGAGCAGCAGGACTGTGGAAAGAGACAAGGTTTGTGTAACAACAACAAAAAAATCAGACACTGATTCTCTCCGCATGCAACATGAGTGCTGTGCATATGGGTCGTTCAGCGCTCTACCCATGATTGCTGGCAGACTTCCATGGGGACATAAGGACGAGAATGGCAACTTGGAGGTGCCACAACAGAGTGCTCTCCCTGTTTCCCCAAACCTCATATGGTTTCTCTCCATTGTTGCCTCGGGAAAGTCTGAGGTGATATGAAGCCCTGCCTGCCACCCCCCACACTGCACTGGCAAAGGGGCCACTATGTTGAGCCTGGGATCTGTCCCAGGTTTGAGAACAGAGCTCTATACAGACATCAGGATGCACAACAGCACCTGGGCCGGAGTCTTCCAGCGATATCCTAGGCAAGGAAAACCTGTGGAGGGAAGACATGGTGACAACCGTGATGTTTGCCAGGCGGTGGGAACTTGAGATCCCTATTGGAAGTCAGCGGACAACAAAAGAACCGTGAGTTAAACGAACCACAACCACACCGCACTGGCTTCCTCCCAAGTCAATTTATGCAGTCAGATTTTGAGAGTGTATCAGATGCCTGCAGTGAGCCGTGCCTGGAGCATAGCTTGCAGCCAGGTGAGGCTGGAGAGGCCGCGGCCCTCACAGCTTCCAGCCTGCAATGGAGAAGTCCACCGAGGGAAACTGCGTGGCTGCGGATGATCAGACTGTGACTCGTGCAGAGGGAGCTGTGTGAATACTCTGTATTAATGCTATAAAAACTCTAGGAAGGTTTTCATTCCTCTTTTTTGTTGTTCTTGATTATGTTGGTTATTTGTTTTTTTCTTGCTTCTTTATTGATTTCTTCATTTTACTTTAAGGTTTTTCTAGCTGTTCTTTTAGTCTTCTTTTATGACTTTCTCTTCTCCATATTCATCTCCTCTTTTCCTCATCTTATTCTTGCCTGGCCTTCCTTCTCTGCCATGACCCAATGCAGCTCTTGAGGTTCTTGGGGTTAAGGACCAGCGAGAGGACGAGAAAAAAAAGAGAGGACAAAGCTGGAGCCCTTAGCCGCCTGATGGGAGGAAAGGAACTGCTCAACCACTATGACACCTTTATTTATACACTGGGAAAGCTGATATCAGTTTCAGCCCCTCTGCCCAGCACCCCACTGCCTGGCAGGCCTGGGCCCTTGCCCTCTTGGTGCTGGAACAACTTGTTTACATAGCTTGCTTTGGTCTTTCTGTTTTTTCCGGGCTGGCCTTGTGTTAGCCCCACACGTGGGATCAATCTCCAGCTTCAGCGGCTCTCTGCACTTCTCCTCTTCAGCTTTCATGTGGCACACATGTATATGGGTCTGTATATGCACAAAAGAAAATAAGGATTAACGAGGGCTATAACTTACACAGTACTAGTCATGGGTGTGTCAAGGTATCCTTATCACAGCTGTGCTTAGAGGATCCAAACAAGACTACAAACGTATTGACAGGTTCTATCAATCTCACAATTTCCCTGAATCTAAATACACTTCCCTTCCTCTTTCCAGCTGCATAAATATTCTCTTAAACTCCCTCAACACTAGCCCTTTACCCCAACTGTAAAAATAATTACCATAGAGTTCAACCTCCTTTTTGTTTTTTACATATGGACATCTTTCTTACCCTCCTCTCCCCACTAACATAACCCATCTTCTTTCCTTTCTTTTTCACTTTTTCCACCCTCCACATCCCAGATGAACCACAAAGGGACTGTGAGGACCACTGATAAAAGGGTGAAATGGTCAAAATAAGTTTATGTTTATGAAGGATGTCTGGTTAGAGCTCTCTCTTTACAATATAGAGTCTGAGTTCAACCTAATTAAATTGAATAGGTTGAATTGGTGAACAATACTTCTTGCAACTACAGCCAAAATCACATCACTAAAAACAGAAACTAATTCAAAATATCTTCATATGAACAAATTCTCTGTTAGATCTCAACCCTCACTCAGATCTTCCAAAGACTCCAAACTCTCCCAATGCAGATCAAATAGGAAATCAAACATCACATAGCCAAGCTGCATGAAATGCTTAAAGAATAAAAGAAAATTAGCAAGCTCAAAGATGACATAACCTAAAATATACTGCTAGAACTAACCAACTGACCAATAAAAGCTGACCAAAAATATTCAAATTATGAATGGCAATTTATCAAAGAAATACACTCCTCAAATAGATGGGAACAGAAATTCTGCAGATGAAGAATTCTATTGAATACACAAATAGAAGACATGATCAATGTGAACAAAGCCTCAGACCTTGAGGACAGAATGAAAACACATGGTGTACTCAGAGAAACCATGGAAATAACAAGAGAGCAAGGAAAATTCATCCAACATCTATGGATGATGGTAAGAAGACTAACTTAGGGCTGAGGATTTAGCTCAGCGGCATAAGTGCCTGCCCCGCAAGCATGAGGTCGTGAGTTGGATCCCCAGTACCAAAAAAAAAAAGACTAATTTAACACTAACTGGAGTTAGAAATTATAGGACAGCTCATGTTGAATAAATACTCTATTTACAGAAATCATAGCAGCAACCTTTCCAAATATGGAGAAGGAACTTCACATAAAAGGTTAACAGAATGCCAAACAATTACAGGGAAAAAAGAAGGTCCCCATGACGCATCATAGTCAAAATCTCAGAAATCCAAAACAAGAACAGAACTTTAAAAACTGTGAGAAGAAAGCAAAAAGTCACTTCCAAAGGCTAAATCATTAGGATGACACAAGACTTATCAACACTAGCTTTAAAGACCAGGAGACCTTGGAATGAAGTGCTTCAGACCCTAAAAGAAAACTTTCAACCCTGACTGGTATATCATACAAAATTATCTTTCAAGATTGATGGACAAATAAAGACATTCCACGACAAAGATGCCTTAAGAAATTCAGGAGCATCAAGCAGCATTCATAAATAGTCAACAAAGATCCTGGCCTGCTGTAGGGTCTACAGGGGCAGCAGCCATTGTATGGTCATAAGACTGCAGGCAAGGGACCCTATCCACATTTCCAGTGCTGAGAGCCACCCACACTGCTCTCCAGGTGGAGGAAGGCAGAATTGGCTCCCTCTGGACCTCCTAGTGAGGAAAGGAGCGCCCTATCTTTCTTTCTGGCGCTGTTGGAGGAGGAGAGAGAGAAGTCAGAGAAGGCTTCCCATCAGGAGAGGTGGCCTCTGCGCTGAGGTCCTGTGAGGTACACGCTGGCCCGCCAGGTGGTATGAGTGGTTGACTGGAACTAATAAAGCTAGAGAACTCGACTTATGGGGGTTAGCCTACAACATACCCAGGACAGCAAGAAATCTCTGCGTTCTGTGGCTTGATGGAGGACAGCAGGCTGGCGGGACTGTGGATGCACACCAGTGCTCCTAACTGTGCAGCTGAGTGAGTGTCTGTGGCACCACTTGAGCCCGGCTGCTTGATGTGGGACCCACAGGCAGCAGTTTTCACAGAGAATCTCCTCTTACTAGGTCACTGGCCCTGCTGTCTGCAAATTCTGCTCTGAGGACAGGAAGCGATTCCAGGACAGGGGTGCAGGACTCAGGGCTGAGAAGGCTGAGCTCTAGGCCTCCTAGGGGATGGGATCTCACCCCCACCATGTGTTATTCACAGCTTCAGGAGGTCACAGGAATGAAACCGGAGCCGGTGTGGTGGCACACCACGTGGTGGCCCTTAATCCCAGCATTTGGGAGGCGGAGTTAGGAAGATCACCAAGAGTTTGAGGCAGCTTGGGCTACACAGTGAGTAGATAGCAAGCCCCAGTATCACTGCTTCCCCCCACACCCGCAAAAAAATAAGTAAAGGTTGGAAGAAACTTTTAAAAGCAAAGAAAACAAATAGTCAAGACAAATCCTATAATGCTTTTGTTGTTTTGTTTTGATTGGTTTTATTCTGTTTTAATTTTATTATGTCCGACGGTATGGACAGCTACTTTGAAGAAAACAGACATTATGGTAGTCATTGTTGATTTTCTATTATCTTGATTTGAAGTCCTGTATCATTTTCATTCTGTTCTGATTGGTTTTATTCTGTTTGATTTTATTCTCTTTAAACTAAAAAAATAGGACCTGGGGTTTAGCTCAACACCGTAAGTGCTTGCCTCACAAGCACAAGGTTGTGAGTTTGATCCCTGGTACCAAAATAAATAAGTAAACAAAATTTTTAAAAAAAACAGTCAATAAGAGATAATGAAGCTGACAAAACCAAAAAGTCTGGTGGAATGAGTACATCAAGCAAGGGGAGAAGTTAAACAAAAAGGGAAAAATAAATTAGTCAACAAAAAAAGAACATAGTAACAGAAATGTCGATGCTTTTTTTTTTTTATCTTTTTCATTTTTATTGGTACCGGGGATCAAACTCACGACCGCCTGCTTGCAAGGCAGGTGCTTATGGCGCTGCGCTAAATCCCCAGCCCCCTTGATGCTTTTTAATAATAACTTTCAGTATAAATGGCCTTAGTTCTTATAGATTGGCAGGCTGGGTCATAAACAAACAAAATTCCAACAGTTTGTTGTATACAAGAGACTGACTTAATTCAAAGAAATATATAGACTAAATTCAAAAATAGAAATATACAGACTTAAGTCAAAGAAATATATACACTAAAAAGCAAAGAATGAAAAACATTCCATGTACCAGACCCAAAAAGCAATCAGGAAGAGCAATTTTATTCTCAAAGTAGACTGTAAGCTTAAATTGATCAGAAGAGGCAAAGATACTACATATTAGCTATGGGAGCAATTCAACAGGAAGAGAGAACAAGTGCAAATATATACAAACAGTATCAGTGCATCCAATTCTGTAAAACAAACACTAATCGACATAAAGGATCAAATCAACACCAACACGATTCAAGTGGGGAAACTTTCAAAAATACATCATCAACTGCTGGGCTGGTGAGTTCAAGGCCAACCTGGACTACAAAGCAAGAGCTTGTCTCAGAAAATAAAAACAAAAACAAAGCATAACAAAAAAATGAACTAAACAAAAAACTAACAACTGAACAACATCTTTGAACAATGGTCTTAATAGATAGACTTTTAGGAAGATGTCAGACAGAAAGCAGAAACAAATCAGTGTCTCCAAGATTTGGAATCCGGACACTGGAAAATAACAATTTAGGGAAGAAAGGAAAGAAGGAGGCGCATCCTGGCAACCCAGGAAATATGTGAAGGGAAAACTTGAGCCCACACAGAAAGAGACAGATCTCAACACAGAAGGAAGGTTCGCTGTGGCTCTCCCTGGTTCCCAGGAGAGAGGAGGCTCAAATCTGCCGAGACACAGTGAGGGCAGGTGACTCCAAAGGCCTCCAGGGAGAACTGCACCAGTGGATGCTGCAAAAGCTGGAGAGTGACTCCAGTGCAGGCAATGAATGCCAGGTCTCCTGGAGAAGGGACGTGGCCCAGTGCCATCCTAGAGAGGGGTCAACTGACCAGGATCAGCCTGCACCAGAATCAGCGCTCGCCCTCGCCCTAACCCTACTGCAGGTCTGCTGGGATCACCCAGCACAGACCTGAGCTCTGTCTGCCTCCTTTGTCCCTGCCAGTCATGCCCTGAACTGGACGCTACCACAAAACTGTCAGCCCCAGAAGACAACCACAGCCTTGAATCACAGAGAAATTTTCTTTAGTTTATTCCCTTTGCTTCTGGTTTTGGTTTTTTTTTCCTTCATTGTTTGTATTTGTTTTCTCATTACTGTGAATATTGTATTGAGGGGTTTCTTTTTGTTTTGTTTTGCTCTATTTTATTGTATTCTTGTTTTTGTTTTCTTCCTCCAATCTTCATTACCAGTTTCCTGAAGCTGGGGTAATCTTTCTTTGCCCTTCAGCCTTGCTTCTAATAACTTTCTCTTCTTTTGTTTCTACGTTTTTTTCTCTTATTCTTTTTATATTTTCTCTGAGGGTAAAATATATTGAGTGGCTATTTACTGTGTGTACTTTTCTGATTTGTTTTAAATTTTGTTATATAGTTATAAATTGTGTTCCTATGGTTAAAGATGGCAAACTAACAGATGTCACAGTTTCTGATTTTCTAGACTGTGCTTAATGTTATCATTATTACTGATTATTCTACTTTAGCCATGGTGACATAGTTGTGATCAGTTGTTCTTCCTCGTACGTCAGTGCCAGTACTATATGGATGTCATAAGAGATACCATAATCCAGGCACCAAAGAACGAGGCCAGACAGGAAGCAAGCTGTCATCCCTAATAAAGAGACAGGATCTTGGAGAGACTCAAAAGCTAGGTACACATAAAATATATCTCAGAAAAGTAATCGTTTCCTAAAGAGATCTCAACACTTATAATGAAGCTACATACTAC